AGAAGGCCTCGATATCGGGTTTACATAGTTCACGTTGTACTTTTCTATTTCAACACGGCCATACTTTTTAGGACAGCAATTTTTCAATTTTAGTTACTCTGCCGACCAAACTTACACCAAAACTCTTTTCATTTGTTTTTTGAGTTAAATACGAATCTACGTTAAGAACTATCCTTTTGTTGTCCGCTGTTGTTACATGTTTCAACGAGTACCTAAAACTCTGCATCCATCGAAGTAACAACGAGGAAGCTTTTATCGCCTGTTGTTGCTGCGTGTTCCAAGACATTTCCAACGAACACCGACTTGTACGAACGTTTCGTTCACGCTGTTTACAACGTAATCGGAGGAATATTTTTTGGCTTTGTCTTCATTTTAAAACGACGTCTGTTTCTAGCGACGAGTACGCGCCGAACAAACATTTGTTCCGTCGCGATGTTTGTTCTTACGCGCCTCTTACTTTTCTTTATTTTCACCGCTCCGAGCTAAAACATGCAACAAGTAGCAATTTCTGTTACCGGCGACGTACGCGGAAGAATATTCGTACGTCAACCAGCAACGTTTCAACCAGAAACACGGAACACCGACAGAAAGTTGCTGGTTGTTGCTTGAGCGAGGACGCAGCTTAACTCTCACAACGACATAGAAGTTGGCAAAGAGTGCCGCGCTTTTGCGGTCCGATTGTTTTCCCACTCGGTTGATCCTGCAGGAGGCGCAGGTATAGCTCGCGCGTCCCTGAATCGAGTCAGCCCGGTCGCGTGGGTGATTTGGGGCAGTTGGTGGGGATAACTGTCGGTTGTTTGGCCAGGAGTGGTGGTAGAAACAGGGCGGGGACGGGAGACGGTGAACCGTGGCACGAACAGACGGACGTACGGGGTACCGATAGGGATGCACCGACCTTGGAGGGATTTTTGCGTCTACCGTCGTACGTTCACCCCGTCAGCAGCGGAGCGAACGTACTCGCGCGCGTTCAGAAACGCGACTCCCTCTTTCTCGGCCTCTTTGTCTCCCCCTTCGCTTCCCCGGCCCTTCCGCCCCTCTCCCTACTTCTGTACCAGGCCCTTTTTTTCTACAGTCTTCGTTCCAGGCTTACTCGAGGCTGAAACTCGCCGGGAATCGGCCGCCTCACCCTCGAAGCCCTCTCCAAGCGACGCTCCAGGGGCGGAATTTTTGCGCCGCCGTCTGCGACAGCACAGACAATAGACCGATGCTTGCTCCTCCAGTTGAAAGAGTTCCGTGAGATTCGTTTTGGAACAAGTTTCCGAAATCTTCTGCTGGTTCTTCTTCGCAGGTTCTTGCGCTTGGAGCGTATAGCGGGTTTTCAGAGATGATTTTCTACTGATAGGAGGCTGTATGAAGTTGTTCGGATAGGTTCCCTATTGTTCTCTTTTGTGTAGGATACGCGAATCGCTGGCAATTCGTATTGATTAATTTGGTAAGTTGGAAAGTAGGAAAAGGTCTTACCGTGAAATTTACTATTATTTAGCGTTTTAGCGTATATTACTTGGTGGAAAGTGAAGCTCACCTGTTCCATAAATTCTTTTTTTACGAAATCGATAAATATCACCAGTTAGAGGTAATGCTTATAATTCGATTAAAGTTCCTATTCTAAATTCTAACTCCGTTAAAGTTTACGTTAAATTTCTCGTAATTTCTATACAAGTCTCTAGATTCGTTAAAAATTTTATCGATCTAATCGATCGTGTCTCGATACGGTGCTAATGAAATTCCAAGATCTTTCATATCATTCACATGGATATTCTACAAGCTTTTTTATGGTAAATGTTCCTTTCGTCAGCCACTGTATGTAAACTCAATTAAACCCCTTGCTAATTACACCGATTTCCTAATTCAAAAATAACTCTAATGTATTTCTAGCGTACTAAATCATTTTTATTCAATGAAAATTTCCTTGTCAACGTACCTTCGTAATTCCGTTAGAGTCAGAGGTGGCACGTGGTGACCACGAGCCAGCCCTGGCGAGTCGATGCATCCCACAGATTAGGCTGCACGTACGCAACATGCACGCGCGTGGCGTGTGCCTAATAGTGCGTGCATCGCTCTCTGCACGTAGTGGAGGTCGTGACCTTGGTGGTAGCCATGAAAGGATCGGTACTTGAGACCAGCCGATTTACGCGGTCACGAGACAAGAGATAGGGAAACTCGATAAACGCCGCTGCGTTTAATTAAGGATGCTTTCCACGTAGTCCCCGTATCAACCTCTGTCCCTCTTTCTCTTTCTGTGTCTCGTGAAACGCAACCATACATTCTGTTTCTCGTCAGTTACCCTCTTCTACGTAGGAAGTTTCCGTTCATGCCTGAAACGACAATAATAATTCTGTACGCGAGCGCGTCTTCCGAAAGCCGAGAGAAAAACGCAGAGGACTCGACGTCGTTCGCGTAAAATTTTGCCGTTTCGTTTGCCAAATAATCTGATTCCGTAAATCTGTCTCCTTTTTTGTAGTTGGAGTTTCTGGAGTTGAGGTATGATTATCATAAACTTCTAAAGCTTTTATACGGTTGGCAACAATAAGTACGTACGTGACTGTAAAAAGTTTATAAATTAATTGGTATCAAGCAGGCGATGTTATATACGCACACTGAATTCCATGAAGTTCCATAAAGATCCATAGAATTAAAGGATCGCATGATCTTTCGTCGAAGTCGCTTTTTCTCCTTTTTAAACTCGACAAAAGCGTAGTCTGCGTTTATAATGATCTCTAGAAAATCGATGTACGATTTTCTGCGTGATCGAATTTATGACAATTCTCGCCTATTCAATTATAACGATCGAATCTAATACAACGTTTCTCCTATTTTTCGCCGATATATTGAAACCAATTTAGAAGATATATCCTATAGAAGATACGTTTACGTTATCAAAAAGGAACATTCTTTGCGTTCATCCTATACCATTGTTGATCGAGACGGAGAACATTTATCTTGAAAATCCTGAGTGAAAGGGATGACCTAGTGACCTTGTTGAAGATCGTGCGCCACCGATTCTAGAGGTTGAACTTAATTAGTGCGAGAAGCTCGGCGACCATTGTCGTTCAATTAATTGCCCGTCGCGTCGGCCAGGTCAGATAAGCCCACGGGTATATACCCCCCAAGAGCTTCGAATCGCTTCATAATCGTCCGGCACGCGATAGGGAACGACGAACGGATCAAGGTTCTGTCGATTAAGAAAAACGAGATTGCTTCGAGAGCTGGCTATTTTCAGTTTGCGAATAACGTTCACGCAATGGGCTCGATCCATCGGTTCGCTGTTCTTCTTTGTCGTTGAAATTTTTTGGTTAATCAAAATTCTACCGCATACTACATACTACATAATAAAAATAAAAATTCGGAAAGAAACAGATCAGTTCAATTTTATGTTATATTTTTCAGAATAGCGCATATCCTGTACGCTTAAGTAATTGTAGAACTCGAATAAAATATTTTTTAATCTCTTTTTAATCTTCTTGTTAGCAAGAATTTTGGTACTGAATATTCTTCATTATTGTACTTATTGTTATTATACAGGTTTTATGATCTCAGAACATGGAGTTTCTTTTGTAAGATAATAATAGATTAATAAATATAAAAATATTCCACTATTACATATTTTTTAAGGACCAGTCATTTCGACTGGCTTTGGTAGAGATAGCTACGTCTCAAATGCCGGTAGTTCTAGTGTTAATTTAAATTTGTAGTGTTCATTCGTATCAATTTTTGATATTTCCACGTAATTCGAATTTTCTCTAAACTTAACCCAGATACGTCTATCATTCTGTCAAAAGGATGACTGGTAGGTAGCGACATATTTGCCAATTTTTGCAGTAGTATATAAAAACGCATTGCATAAAGAGAGTTTAACAAAATTAATCTATTTTCTCTGCATAGAATACACATTATACGAAACTTGTTTATTTGAAACGTGAAAGATCATAGCAAGTAGTCTACAAATTTTTAAATATAAACTTATCAGATGTAAATATCGTTGCAGTGTATAATGACAATCGTAGGGATTCGTATTACTGTTTCCTGCGTCAGTCTTGCTGTTGCTAAAATCCAGTCACGAAACAAAGGGTTGAAGATTCACGTCTCGAGATATGTATTCGTCGATTGAAATTGAGGCTGCGGTTCGTACATAAGAAAGCAACGACATTTAACTGGCAATTAATAGAGGAACGAAGAGAGCGAGAAGGACAAAGATTAAAAAAAGAAAGGACAGAGGAGAAAAAAGAGAAAACTGGCCGTGTGAGAACGAGATGGCACGACCTCGAAGGGCGCGGTCGAGTTCAGACTAGACTGAAGCTGCCCTTGTGCCTAACCGACCTTGAGACAGCCCGTTTTGCCATAGCCTGACTCCACCGGCCCCATACCACGAACGCATCCTCCGCTCGTAACACAAAGAACTGTCCTCCTCGCTGGGAATCACCTCCTTGCCCTACGTGGAATTTTGCAAATGGAATCTCGCCGTTTTGGGAACATCGTCCACAAGAATCTTTCAAACAGGTGTTCAGCGTCCACCGGATTCTCCTTCTTCTTTTTTCTCTCTTCTCGATGTTTCGCTCGGTGTTACTCGTTCAGACAAACGACGCGATGTTAGGGCGCGTATCGGTCGATTTTTTAACTTTTACATATTTCGAAGTTTCGTTCGTTCCACGGTTGTTACATCGGAGTCGAATATATTGGTCAGAAGTTGGAGAAACTCGAAGGTATCGTGCGTACAGTGGATTCGTTAGTTTCTTAGAATTGATATATTTTCAAGTTGCATTCTTAGATTGCGATTGAAGACAGTGATCGGAAATTGAAAGAAGCTTGATGCCCGGTCGTTCAGTTTTTAGTTATTAATGTTCTCGTAAAATAAATGTAAGATTCCATGGTGTAACTAAATAATCTAGGGCACATATGTCGAACATTTACTTTGAAAATCTTTGTCCTCTCGATAGTTACGCTATCATCGACTGTCTTAACTTTTCGATTGTCAATGAATGAAAAAAAAAAGGGTGCAATTATGTTTCCGCCCGGGATCGAACCGGGGACCTTGTGCGTGTGAAACACATGTGATAACCACTACACCACGGAAACGTTGATAGCAACCCCCTTCTGTTTGATTAACAGCCCCAATTCTTACCTCGATACATTAAAGATAATTAAAAAATTATATTTGTCGCAGCTTAAGAGATGAAAGAGACAAGAAGAATTTTGATATAAACGTTGCTTATTTAACAGAGTGAAATATCCTTTCTCGAGTGTTTTTTAATACATAGTTTAAAATATTTTACGTAAAGTACAATATATCGTACTGCTATGAAGCAAAAAAGAAGGGGACATAGATGCAAATAATTTGATTTTATTCTTGAATCGTTTCAATAATTTCTATGCAATATTATTATATTTACAAACACTTTTTCATTTTTAGTTATAAATAATAATAATAATAATAATAATAATAATAAAAGAAGAGGACATAGATGCAAACAATTTGACTTTGTTCTTGAATCGTTTGAATAACTTCTATGCAATATTATTATATTTACAAACACTTTTTCATTTTTTGTTATAAATAATAAAAATGATAATAATAATAAAAGAAGAGGATATAGATGCAAACAATTTGATTTTATTCTTGAATCGTTTCAATAATTTCTATGCAATATTATTATATTTACAAACACTTTTTCATTTTTCGTTAGAAATTATTTAATTATATCGTTAATTATATCCTATGTGTCGTATCGAAATATCCTTTTTACGAGAGCCAGTTTGTATCGAAGATTTTTTGGTAGTATTCTGTGAAGAAGACAGACGGACAACTGGTAAAACACAAAATCAGCCGTACCGTGTAAACAAGGTCAGCTAGGTCAAACGTGTATATAAACATTTTTTTATTGTTTCTGCGTACTGACCTCCAAATTTCTTATATAACACGTGGAATTTTTCCGATGTGAAATATTCCACTCATTCTCAGTCGTTCTTTGATTATTTTCGATATTTATAACTTTCATCAATCTTTCATCAATTTCATGTCCGATAATTTTGTGCAATTGCATAAACGTACTAAAATATTCGAAATTTTCTTCCACTCGCTGATCCCGCAAATATTTTTAGTACCGTTTTGACCATTCTTTAACCAATATACCTTTACAATCATATTAATAATAGTAACGTTACGTCAATGATTATAATAACGAATGTCAAACAGACAATAATACAGATTTGCAAACAATGAAATAAAAAAACACGATCACAAACTTCGAATATTGTACAATTGTAGAAATCGATGGCAGAAATTGTAGGATCTTGGCGATTGAAGAAACAACGGCGAAATTAATATCGAGCGAATCCTTGAAATTCCTTTTCATAATCTCAAGAAACAGGATAAAGAACGAGAATTCGATAAAATTACAAATTGATCGAAGAAAACGAAACGTTGTGATTATACCTGCGCATATCGATCGTAAAACTTTCTACGATGGTTTCGCGAGAGGAAGGAGGGACTTGGTAGATCCTGCGGACGCAGTTTCACGGAAAACGCAAGAATTCGTATACATAAATAGAACTGACCTGCGCTACCAGGTCCAACGCGTGCTCCTTTGTCCGTACCGAGCTCATTTCTGAGAACTCTCGGTCGCTGTTTCTCTTTGGAATATTGATCGATCGTCCTCGTCGACGTTTAGAATGTACGCGAAAATCGCATTCTCGTGGCATTATAATATACGTCACAGATCCTTTTACGTTTCAACCACGCGAAACCGATTTCCCCTCGAACGCTCTTTGCATTTTCCGAACGTTGCGCCTGAAACTACGCGATTTCAGGTAATGGATCGACCTCTTCTCGCGTCCTTTCTTTCTCACCTTTCCACGCTTTTGTTCCATTCAACAAGGAACCCACTTTAGAGTGGAATTTCTCTCACTGATTGAATAAAAGCTACAGCAGCTCGCGAAAGTATTTTGCCACTTACCGCGTCTCCAAGTGTTCCGTGTGGCGCGCGTAATATATTCGCAGAAGGTTTCTACGAGCGTTTCGATACTTTTGCAAGCTACTGTACGCGTCGCGTCGTCTTTGTCGAGCGAAACGCGAAAATGTGGAGGCGATTGTCGACCCGTGAATATGCCAGTACGAATCATGCTAGTAGCTTGAATTGTTGATACAGGGTGGATTTAGGGAAATTTTATTTCGGAACGAAGATGCAAAGTAACGATCTGAAACAGCTAAATTGTTTTACTGATTTTGTTATAGAAATAGAACAACGTTGGTTCGTGTTTAAATGCTTTCGACAGCTTTATTGGAGCAACGTGTTTTAAATGATTTCTTTTTTATTTTAGTTCGGTTCTCTTAAACGAAACAACAGATTCGATCTTTTGAGAATTTTGCTACAGAGACAGAAGTTCGTAGGTACGAATTGCGCAAATTTTTTCATATTATACGTTGAAATCGATTTTTTCGATGAAAGATTAAATTATTATTATTATTATGGAACAACAGATAATTTTGATTTATAAATAACGCGTCTTTCACACATTTACCTTATTATATAAATTTCTATTATTAATACGATTGACATAATAGTATCAGAGATTATTTGAGAAATTATTTCGGGAAGTTCGCTTCTGCTATTTGTTTTCAATCATGTGCACGTTTCGCAACGAGCTCTGCAAACAATCTTTCCTAGAATCGATAAAGGAATTAGGCGTATTAGTGTGTTAAATATAAAAAGTAATTTTCACACTTGAGGATCATTCAAAATGATACCTTTATCTTCACATTAATTCATTTTAATTCGTAACGGTTCTCGTCCGACGATGAGAATTCCATTCGTGTACGATAATGAACAAAGCTACGGTAGCAAAGAAATGTATGCAATAATACACGAATCTAGAATCTGCAAGATTTCATGAAAATAATATATGCAAATATTTCGTTGCATATATAACGAGGAGAAACGTCCGTTTAAATTGACTGTTTGAAACCCGCGCTGAAAATATGTAATTGAAATAACCGTAATACATTTGTAGAATCAAGTGGATGCCACGAATAATATTCCTATTAATACACCAATACATTTTTACATGCGTATCTGATTTCTACAATAAAACTGGTCAAACTCAAGTTATCTTTTATTTTATTAGAAAAAATTAACCAACGCAAAAGACGTGTTTTTTTAAATAATCCCATTATTTCGTTTCAAATACAGTCTACCCACGATCAATCACTGAACGATCTCCGAGTTATAATTCCTCTGTAAAATACTCTAAACTCGCTACAACGAGAAATGATCAAGTAGAATAAGACGAGCTGGTTTCAGACCGCTACGGATAATGTCAGCCTTGCAAAACGATGTCGATTTTAGCATAATCGAGAGAGATCTGCGTGAAATGAAAAGCTGCGCGAGTAAGGTTGACGATCTTGCAATAATAGAAAGCTACGATTCCGTTGGTTGGTTAAATGCGCTGCCTGTGCACCGTGTCTCAACATGGTCGCTCGGCGAAACTTTTACTTTTACTACGGAGAAAGTGCACCGCTGCTGCAACTCTCGCGATTCCGCCTAGAACGCGTAATTCGCTCTTGTCTCGAGATCGCAAAACGAAAATGTATTTCCTTTCGTTCCTTTCATCTTCGCGATGCCGGTGCTGTTTCGATCGACAAGAAATCCACGCGTGATTCTTTAATCACCAGCTTTTTTTCTTTTTTTTTTTTTTTGGTGAGTAATATCGACGTACTCGCAAGATAAATGTAAAGCAAAAGCGCGGTGTTTAATTTTGTTTATCCGCACTTGGAAAAAACCGGTGTCGATTTGATCGATGATGGATTTAAGACTATAGATGGAAAATATTTGACACGATTCGTTGAACGTCAGTGTTCTAAAAGGACAACGTCCAGCCGTTCCTACGGTACAAGCCGAAGCGTGCAACTTCGTTTCGTAGAAAGTATAAATATATTTGTAATAAATTTACAAGTTTCACCGGCGTGCGAAATTTGTACAACTTTAAAGAATTCCTACGCTCTTACTCCACTGTAAGAAAACATCCACCTATCGAGTTTCAAAGGAAGACATTAAATTGAAAAAGTTGTACCTTCGTAAATGGACACTGCAGTCGAGTAATCATAATTGGGAAAAGTCGCTAAACAGTATAATTAGCTTGAAATCCTCATCAGATACATCTACGTGTGCTCGCCTTCAACTTTCTAGCCACGGGCGATTCTATGCCTTGTTTGTATCTTCTATGATTTGTTCTGTATCTTGTTTTATCGTAAGAAATGCAATAGAAAAACCGCATCCTGACGATAGCATGGTCGGTCGAAATAAACGGAATAATTAATTAGGTAGACCGCAATTTCGGTTTCGTCCACAGTTAACGATTAATATTTCCGTAATTGGTGTAAAATTCACCTGTCACAGAGAACGATATATGAAAAGTGGAAACGTTCCGCGCTAGATCGACGTTCCATACGTAGATCGATGCCGATAAAATTCTCGTTCGAGTGGCCTGTTAATCGACGTTCATCGTTCTCGAGTCAGTTGTCGGCCCGACGTTAATGAGCCCCGTACTCGTTGCTCGCCGCATTGTGCTTTTCCCATTTAAGGGCTGACACACTTTCCGCGAGCCACGATCGCGAGAAACCGTGCAATTCCACGCCGGTTCATTTCATTTCCTGGTTGGAGCAACGATCTGGCCGGTCGTTAGCCGCGGCACGTTGCACCGTGCCGTACACGCTATTGCACATTGCATCGTCCGATTGTCTGGCCCAGCGATCACGCCGAAACGTAGGAAAGCCGCGAGCCGAGACAGTCGTTCGTCTCGTAACCAGCCCAATTTTTACGTAGAAAGGGGAACCCCGTGAACATTTCCTTGTCTCGAACACGCCGTTCGAGTAACAGGTTGTCGTAACACGTGAAATGTCTTCTATCGTGGCATAAACTGGCTCGATTTATGGCTCGGTGTGTTTGCTCTTTCAATCGACGATTTTTCTCGGGACAGCGAAGTCGTAGCCGGAGTCGAAGATCGCGGGGAATTTCAGATCATTGCAGTCGGGGCTGCAGTTGAGAGCAAATAGCGCAGCTTGGTATCGATAGTTGCGCAAC